GTGTTTCATTTTCTTGCATATATCTGTCCAATTTTCCCAACACCATTTATTGAAGAGACTATCTTGGCTCCATTGTATGTTCTTGCCTCCTTTGTCAAATATTAATTGAGCATATTGGTTCGGGCCAACATTCTTTTTTTTTTTTTAATAGCTGAGAAACATTCTCTTGTATATATGTACCACCTTCTCTTTGTCAATTTGTCCATTGATGGACATGTAGGGTGCTTCCATATCTTGTCCATAGTGTTTTGGTTTTCTTTGGATACACATTTATTGGTGGAATAGCTGGGTTTCCAGTCAAGATGGTGGAGTAGATAAACACAGTAAAATTAGGCATCAAAATTACAACCAAACTACAGAACAACCATCATTCAGAACAGCCTCAAGTCTAGCCGAACAGCAGTCCTATAACTAGAGACACAGAAGCCATATGGAGACTGGTAGGAGGGACAGAAAGGAAGAAGCCACTGGTCCCACAACCATGTGTGGTAGTTAAAGATGAGAGGATGTCCCAGCCACATGTTCCCGAGGAGCAAGGGTCCCAGCCCCACATGAGGCTCCCAAGCCCGGGTTCCAGTGAGAGGAAGAGAAGTCCTCATAGCTCTGGCTGTAAAAACCATTGGAGAGGGTGGCTGAGTGAAACAGAAGGCTACTTTGAGTCCCAGGCACTCCTGTTAAAAGGGCCTACACATGGACTTCCTTGGACTCACTCTGAGCTCCAGCACAGGGGCAGCAGCTTGAAAGGTGGTAGGCATATATGGGAGGAACCAAATTGTCTGGCATCAGGGCAAGTGTTGGAGGGGCAGCTTTCTCCCAGACAGAAGTGCTGGCAGAGCCATTGTTCCTTTTCTGAGCCCTTCCCCCACTGAGCCAGCAGGAGGGCACCATATCTGAGTCTCCATAACCTGGCATTTTCAGTTCCACCTGCCCTGGTGATTCCCTGAGATGCCACCCCACCCAACGTTCAAACACACTGAAGCTGTTTCTTGTGGCTTTTCCATACAAATGGCCTGTTTTGGTTCATGCTGTGGACTTTGCTAAAATCCCTCAAAGGGTCACAAACCCCAAAGAAGCAGCATCTGGACTTTGTGTTCCCATACTTCTGGCTAAGTGGCCCCAGGCTTGGCACTGGTGGCAGTCGAACTCCGTTTGCAGCTTGTCTCTCATGGGCACCTCCAAGCCCAGCACAAGTGGCAGCCATCTGCAGATCACTTTGTAGATCCTAATAGGTGGCTCTACAACCAAGATTACTCTACCCACCAAGGCTATCAAGAGTTAAAGGGGCTTCTTTTAAATA